GACTATTATTTTGTTATGAAGTGTCATGAGTGACAAGTATGGTAAGAGTTAAAATGAAAATGTCAAAGGAGTCTGATTGGGCCATTTGTGGAGAGTTTGGGACACCTGTCAGTACTAACAATTCAGTGCCCATAGATTGAAGATAGCAAAGAAAAGATTTATCGGTGTGCCTAAGTCAGCAGTAGGTAGAAACACGGTCAGTGGCTACACAAATCCATATACCTGTAGTCTGTTTCTACGTGTAATCAGTCCCCAAAGAGTTCTGGAAATAATCTTGTATAAACTGTCATTTATATCATAACATAGCTCCTCTACATCTGTCAAGTGTCATCCCCAGTACATACCTCTTCAGAATGCCCAGGCACCATGGCAACAGGCACCTCAGGAAAAGTGAGATGGGCTTTTAATTGCAGCGTCAAAAAGTACATTTCAGCAAGTTTCAAAAACGAGTGCATTATTTGACAAATGTTATAATTATTTTAATCATCTCAGCATGAATGCCAGATGTATTTTTGGCATGGGTCTTCTTAGATATAAACGTCCTGATTCAATTTGAAAGCATACATGTTACAGTGGAGAAAATTATATTAAAAGTTAACCGAAGTAAGGCATCTGCTATCTATACAAGTTTGTTTTCCTGTTAATATTTTCCATTAAAACATACGTGAATTTGCATAAAAGCTTTCTTTCATTATTCACAGTGTAAGATATAGGGAGATCTAATTGTCTTTAGGATGATTTGTCCCTAAGGGGATAGATGTTCAGTTGCCTGCGTGTATCAGCTTTTATTTATTTATTTATTTTTATTTTTTTGTTTCTTAAAAATTTTTATTTACTTAAGTTTTGGGGGGAACAGGTGGTGTTTGGTTACATGAGTAAGTCATTTAATGGTGATTTGTCAGATTCTGATGCACCCATCATCTAAGCAGTGTACAATGAACCCAATTTGTAGTCTTTTATCCCTCACCCCCCACCCATTCCCCCAAGTCCCCAAAATCCATTGACATTCTTATGCCTTTGCATCATCATAGCTTAGATTCCACTTGTGAGTGATAGCATATGATGTTTGGTTTTCCATTTCTGAGTTACTTCATTTAGAACAACAGTCTCCAGTTCTACCCAGGTTGCTGAGAATGCCATTAATTAGTTCCTTTTTATGGCTGAGTAGTATTCACCATAACTTCTTTATTTCCTTTTTATTGTACTGTAAGTTCTGGGGTACATGGGCAGATTTTGCAGGATTGTTGCTTAGGTACACACATGCCATGGTGGTTTTGTTTCCATTCCCCATCACCTACATCAGGCATTTCTCCCAGTGTTATCACTCCCCAACTTCCCTGCCCCCTACTGTCCCTCTCCTTGCCTCCTGTCCCCCAACACCCCAGTGTGTGATGCTCCCCTCCCTGTGCCCATGTGTTCTCATTGTTCAACACCCATCTATGAGAGAGAACATGCAGTATTCAGCTTTCTGTTCTTGTGTCAGTTTGCTGAGAATGGTGTTTTCCAGATTTATCCATGTCCCTACAAAGGACACGACCTCATCGTTTCTTATGGCTACATAGTATTCCGTGGTATGTATGTGCCACATTTTCTTTGTCCAGTCTATCATTGATGGGCATTTGGGTTGGTTCCAGGTCTTCCCTATTGTAAACAGTACCACAATGAACATAGTGCATGTGTCTTTATAATAGAACAATTTATAATCCTTTGGGTATATACCCAGTAATGGGATTGCTGGGTCAAATGGAATTTCTATTTCTAGATCCTTGAGGAACTGCCACACTGTCTTCCACAATTGTTGCACTAATTTACACTCCCACCAACAGTGTAAAAGTGTTCCTGTTTCTCCACATCCTCTCCAGCATCTGTTGTCTCCAGATTTTTTAATGATTGCCATTCTAGCTGGTGTGAGATGGTATCTCAATGTGGTTTTGGTTTGCATTTCTGTAATGACCAGTGATGATGAGCATTTTTTCATTTGTTTGCTGGCCTCATATATGTCTTCTTATGAAAAGTGTCTGTTCATATTGTTTACCCACTTTTGAATGGGCTGTTTTTTTCTTGTAAATCTGCTTTAGTTCTTTGTAGATTCTGGATATTAGCCCTTTGTCAGATGGGTAGACTGCAAACATTTTTTCCTATTCTGTTGGTTGCTGGTTCACTCTAATGATTGTTTCTTTTGCTGTGCAGAAACTCTTAAGTTTAATTAGATCCCATTTGTCTATTTTGGCTTTCGTTGCCAATGCTTCTGGTGTTTTAGTCATGAAGTCCTTGCATATGCCTATATTCTGAATGATATTGCCTAGGTTTTCTTCTGAGGTTTTTATAGTGTTAGGTCTTATGTTTAAATCTTTAATCCATCTGGAGTTAATTTTTGTGTAAGGTGTAAGGAAGTGGTCCAGTTTCAGCTTTCTGCACGTGGCTAGCTAGTTTTCCCAACACCATTTATTTATTGTCAGAATCAATATGCAATTTGAAAACTGCCAAATTGGTTCTAGACATCTGACAGGCTAAAATTTGGAGAGCAGCATAGTTGGTCTTCCCAGGATGTTGCTTGAACCAGCAGAGACCCAGAGTCCTAATTTTAAATGTTGCTTTACTTTTGAAGTAGATTAGATACTGGCTTTATAGACAAAATGCCCTTGACATCTTGGATCTCAGTTCCTCAGAAAGGATAATGAGGATATTAGAAGGATAATTTCCTTTATTCCTTCCAGCCCTAATATTTTGTGATTCGATTATTAATTTGCACACAGTTGAATGGTGATGGGTGGCAACACTGTAAAGAAACTTTGAAAATGAATGAATTTATGCAACAAGAGAAAATAAAGAGAAAAAAAACGTAATAGTATATTTTTGCTCCTACCAGGGGTAAGGTATAAGTTATTTACCTAAATAGATATAAAATGAACTTAAAAGTACTAAGTACATGCAGGGGAAGTTTCCAGGAAGAAAGCTTATGGGAAGATGTTGATTTAAACACCTGGGTACTTATATTTACTTTCCATTTCTACCTTTTTCTGAAATTAGCTGTAGTCTTTTGCATATAGGTGGTGTTCAGTGAATATTTGCAAAATGAATTGACTAATAAAAATATTGTTGGGCGTAGTTCATCCACGCTGAGGAGTTTATGTGGCCCAGATCTTTGTGGTAACTCAAAGAAGAGGTGGCTCAATACAGATCAGTTAGATTAGGTTTGACCTCACACATAATATTTTCAACTGAGTCAAGAATCTTACAAAAAGAAATTGTGCTAAAGGACAAGGTTAGTATTTTTTCCCCTAAATTTTATCTGTTCGTTTTATCCTGAACTCACGCATCAGGTTTTCTGAGAGAGATTTGTCATAACATCAGTCCCCTTTGCCCTAGTTTGTTACTCTGCAATGAGAGCCAGATCTATTTTCCACCGCTGGTAGTTGCTTACCCATCGGTGAAGGATAAGGCAATGTGTGTGTGTGTTTTTAATTTTTCTTATTAAGTAGAATATACAGCCGTGTTTCTCCCCTCCTGGAAGGGTTTCTTTATACATTTTCTGTACCTGAATCCTAACCCCTTTGGTATATATTAGTAAAATGTCTCCAGGAGTCAGATAACCCCATGTTTTATTTATTATGACATAGAGTTTTCTTCAAGTTCTGGGGCTTCACCTTTATTGAAATGTAATACCCAGAAATATAACACTGCAGTCTTCTTTAGCTATGGGCCTATTCATCCGATAACAACAATGTGGCCCCCTTGAGAAGACCTAAGAAGTTTTAGTATTTTGAATCAAAGCAATTAACTAGATAAAAAGTTACAGTTTTAATTCTCATGGCATGTGAAGGGTAGAATATTTTTACAGGAAGTGAAAGCAACCCTTCCCTTCTTTGTATCATATACATTTCTGAGGCTCAGCAGGCTAGGTGGTTCTTCAGGAGTACTGAGAAATTCAGGGACGTTTTATTTCTCTATAATTAGGTGTTTTAAGTGGGAAGAAACTCTACCAGATCATGTAAATATTTTATGTAAAAATAGTAAATGATGGCTTATGTATAATAGATGGAGTAAGGTATGCTTTCTAAAATGACTTAAGAAAAGCATAGCAGGGAAAGAAATAAGGCAATTGTAATAATATCAGAAACCACATCTGGGAATCTCTCCCTATATTTAACAACCTTTACTATTGTAGTATTTCAGACTTATCTAAAAGATTTCTGTTTCTAGACATAATGTCAATAGAATACTTGGAAATGTCTTTGAACTGACTCTTGCTTGGCACAGAATGTCAAAGAATCCTCGTGATCATTTGTTCTATTCATATCTGTTGAAAGTTCTAAACTTGTGTGAGGGTACAGTAATGTAAAAACTTGTATATATGTAGAAGGTAATATGCAAAGGTGATGAATATTTCTGTTAGGATTTTTTAAACCAGTAATCTTTAATTTTTAATCTATTTGTTTAAAAAGAGAAGTATTCTCTGACATTGTGACTGTGTTGATTAATTGGTTGGATACCTGTTGTTTACCTCAGTCACTGAAACCAAGAGTGTATGGTATAACATCCTATGCTCTCTCAAAATAGTTTCTGTGTTTCTGGTTTTGTTCTGAGTACATTACTTCTCTCTTTGGTCCTTATAATCACAGTTTTATTTTTTATTTTTAAAATTAGAGATAGTGTCTTGCTCTGTCACCCAGGCTGCAGTGCACACTGTCATGTATTACTATATCCTCGAACTCCTGGGCTCAAGCAATCCTCCCAGTGCAGCCTCCCAAGTACCTGAGACTACACATGTGTGCCATCATGCTCGGCTAATTTTTCAATTGTTTGGTAGAGATAGGTTCTTGCTGTGTTGCCCAAGCTGGTCTTGAGCTCCTGGCCTCAAGCAGGCCTCAGTCTTCCTGCTTCAACCTCTCAAAGTGTAGGGAATACAGTTGTAAGCCATTACACTTGGCCACAGTTTTAAAGTTTCAAAAGTAAATGGAAATAACTAGTTGACTTACTTGGTTTACTGTTTCTTTCAGCTTTTTGCCTGAATTCATCAGTGGAGACTTTGATTCTATTAGGCCTGAAGTGAGAGAATACTACGCTACTAAGGTAAATTATAAACACTATTTTGTTCAAGATCTTTCTCATATGGTTGCTTTCTCTATGTTGTTTCCCGTTTTCATGGTGTATAGGAAGAGATTGATAAACTCATTAGTTGGTTACTTTTTATACCTTTTTTATTATAGCAATTGTAATATCCATTCAAAATGGAAACTTATGCTTTTTCGGAATGGGTTTGCTGCCAGAACACAGGTGTCATGAAAACTACTCCTAAAAGCCAAAATGGGAAAGGAAAAGGCTCATGTCAGCATTGTTATCATTGGTCACGTAGATTCGGGCACATCCACCACTACTAGCCACCTGATATATAAATGTGGTGGCATTGACAAAAGAACCATTGAACATTTTGAGAAGGAGGCTGCTAAGATGGGAAAGGGCTCCTTCAAGTATGCCTGGGTCTTGGATAAACTGATAGCTGAGCGTGAACTTGGGATCACCATTGGTATCTCCTTGTGGAAATTTGAGACCAGCAAGTACTACGTGACTATCATCGATGCCCCAGGACACAGAGACTTCATCAAAAACGTGATTACAGGGACATCTCAGGCTGACTGTGCTGTCCTGATTGTTGCTGCTGGTGTTGGTGAATTTGAAGCCGGTGTCTCCAAGAATGGGCAGACCCGAGAGCATGCCCTTCTGGCTTACACACTGGGTGTGAAGCAACTAATTGTTGGTGTTAACAAAATGGATTCCACTGAGTCACCCCACAGCCAGAAGAGACATGAGGAAATCGTTAAGGAAGTCAGCATTTACATTAAGAAAACTGGCTACAACCCCGACACAATAGCATTTGTGCCAATTTCTGGTTGGAATGGTGACAACATGCTGGAGCCAAGTGCTAACATACCTTGGTTGAAAGGATAGAAAGTCAGCAGTAAGGATGGCAGTGCCAGTGGAACCTGCTGCTTGAGGCTCTGGATTGCAGCCTACCACTGACTAGTCCAACTGACAAGCCCTTGCACCTGCCTCTCCCGGATGTCTATAAAATTGGTGGTAGTGGTACTGTTCCTGTTGGCCAAGTGGAGACTGGTATTTTCAAACCTGGTATGGTGGTCAGTCACCTTTGCTCCAGTCGACATTACAACTGAAGTAAAATCTGCCGAAATGTATCTTGAAGCTTTGAGTAAAGCTCTTCCTGGGGACAGTGTGGGCTTCAATGTTGAGAATGTGTCTGTCAAGGATGTTTGTTGTGGCAGTGTTGCTGGTGACAGCAAGAACGACCCACCAATGGAAGCAGCTGATTTCACTGCTCAGGTGATTACCCTGAACCATCCAGGCCAAATCAGCACTGGCTCTGTCCCTGTACTGGATTGCCACAGGGCTCACGTTGCATGCAAGGTTGCTGAGCTGAAGGAAAACATTGATCACCCTTCTGGTAAAAAGCTAGAAGATGGCCCTAAATTCTTGAAGTCTAATGATGTTGCCATCGTTGAGATGGTTCCTGGCAAGCTCATGTATGTTGAGAGCTTCTGAGACCCTCCACCTCTGGGTCGCTGTGCTGTTCATGATATGAGACAGACAGTTGCGGTGGGTATCATCAAAGCAGTGAACAAGAAGGCTGCTGGAGCTGGCAAGGTCACCAACTCTCCCCAGAAAACTCAGAAGGCAAAATGAATATATCCCCTAATACCTGCCACCTCGGTCTTAATCAGTGGTGGAAGTACAGTCTCAGAACTGTTTGTTTCAATTGGCCATTTAAGTTTAGTAGTAAAAGACTGGTGAGTGATAACACTGCATTCAGAAGGAAAAGAGAATGTTTTGTGGACCACTATGGTTTTCTTTTTTGAATGTGGCAATTTTAAGTTAATGGTTTTTAAAATCAGTACTTTTTAATGGAAACAACCTAACTAAATTATTTGTCACAGAATTTTGAGAACATTTAAAAAGTTTAATAAGAAAAAAAAAAGGAAACTTACAAAGTGACAAGTTGCAACACAATCTTTGGGAAATTTTATCACCACCATATAAAAATTAATCTTTTAAACATATATATTTAAAAAGCTTATAATTTATATATGCTCATTTAATAATACACAATTGTTGCCTATATCCTCATTATTATATATTTCTCATGGATCATTTTAACTTCATTTAATGGATGTACCTCATTTCACTTAGCCAATTCCAAATTAATGTACATTTCAGGTGTGCATTTTTTTTTGCTTTGTAAACTCTGCTAAAATCATCTTTGTAAATGAATTTTTGTAAAAATGCATAATTGTATATTCATAGGAATTTTGAACCAACATTTTTCTTTGACATTTAGTTTTTTTGAAATTACTGTTTTGAATAAAACCGTTTGCTACAACTTGAGATTGATAATATCTTTTTAAAAGGTGTTAATTTTCTCAATATTTTGCAAATCTTTCAAAGATCTTTGCCATGTAAGAACATATAAATTATCTAATTGAGAATTATGTAAGTCACGTGGGAGTGTATTAAAGTAACCAATAATTCAAGGTCTCAGTGGTTTTAAAAGACAATGAAGAGTTTTTCAAATAAAATTTATAGCATTAGTAATTCTTCTAGGCCACTACACCATCATCTCTGTTTAATTCTAAACTGGCATTAGCAAAGTACACATTTTTTTAAAAAACAAACATTGGGTATTGAAATCACAAAACTTTAAATTCTTCATGAGGCTTGGGGAGAGATAATTCAAAAAGAAGAGAAGAAACCTTTCTCAGAAAGGAAGGAGGGAAGAAAAAAGAAAATGTAAAGAAAGAGGAAAAAGGAAACATGATTCTAGGTGGGAAAACAAAGGTGTTATACTTAAAGTATGGCTTGTTATGATATGGAAATTCTGGGGCTGGCAGTGAATGCAGGTCTCCGCACATTCCGTCTGCCCACCAGCTGATCAGACTTTCCCTTAGCAAACGAAGACTGTTCCCAAGTCAGTGTTTGATATTCATGCTCAATTACTTTAACATTGGCATGTTCCTACTCATTCCCCACAGTCTCACTTCTCATTAACTCCATACCTCAACCTCGTTGGGATGGAAAGCCACAGCTTTGCTTACAATGCAGAGTTTTACAAATGCATAGATATTAATCATATTTTCAGGAGCAGACGAAACAGCGAGAGAGGCAGGGACAAGCAGACCCAAAAACAAGTTGAAGATCTGGTCAGGTGTGACTCCTCTCCTCCTCCTCTAATACTGCTGGCTTGCCAAAGTCAGAAGCACTGGCCTGATCACCCCTGTCCAAGATAAGGAAATAGGGGAAGCAGCCTGTTTATTTCTATAGGCAGTAAAACGAGGGTCAAGGATAGAGGAAAATTTTAAGTTAATGCCCCTTGATGAATTTCTTTTACATTTCCTGCTTCACTTTATTTTAACCTTAAAAACTAAATTGTATTTGTTAAGGTTTAGTTTGTAAAGTAAGATTTAGCTCAGTCTTCTAATCTTGAACTGCATAGTTCTAGGTTCATCAGTACAGTCCATTTTATTCATGTGTCAATGAGTATTGAACTCACTGCTTTGAACTTTTATGCCAAGTTCCTAGAGGGCACAGATGATGCCTTTTATATAGTTAATGTGTCCTGCAGAGCACATGGTCAGTGTTTGGCTTCCGTTTTAATAATGACGATAATTACAACAAGTTAATGCAACATTACACACGATTCATATAAGCCATTATCTCCAACTTAAACAGCCTTCACACTGCTCTTTCACAACTGAAAGGTAGTTATCTTCATTTTCAAATATATTCCCTCACTACCTGATCTGGGTTTGCAGTGAAGGTGAAACTGGGGATGTAATACAATGAAGAAATTTAAAATGCCAAAACTTTGTTAAAATCAAAAAGTGGATTGTGTAGCCAACATTTATTCATACAAAGTGTTGAGCCTGACAGCTGGTATACAGTCCTTAATTTACCCGATGAAGTTCTCGTTTTCAGGTAGCTACAACGTCTTGGTGCTTTCCCTTTTGCCTGTTTGAGTTCCTCTCTGCCTGGTTCACTACTGTTAACTCAGAATGAGGAATATCTTACTGATTTTCCTCTTGATATTTTATTTTTCATTTTTCTGGGTCAGTCAATGCTTCTTTGATTTAAAGCTAAAATCACCTGCTTCAGTCTTCTTAATTATTCCATCTATTATGCTTACCACCAGGTTAATTTTCTGAGAACTTTAGAAGAAGTTAGGCTCTCTCATCTAAGTCCTGATATTCTTTCATTACTATATTCTGTGGAGTCTTCAATGGATTTAGGAAAGGGAACTTTAAACACGTTTCCTTCATATTTAGGGGGTTAAGGAACTAGGTGCAGGATTCACCTAATGCATTAAAAAAATTACAGAATAACAAGGGTTTTCCATAAATGTAGGTATAGGATAGTTAAAATATGTAAATATAATAATAAAAATATGAACTAAAGTCAACCCTTGGTATCCAAGGATTCATCCCACAGGGGATGGGGTACCCTGGGATATGCAAGACCTACTAAGGGACTTAAGCATCTTCAGATTTTGGTGTTCTCTACAGTCCTGGAGCCAATTCCCTGTAGATATGAAGAGCCTACTATAATTTAAAATAGAATAAATTAAACAATATTCTTTATCCCAGTTTTTTGATGAGGGAACTGAGGCTTAGAAAGCTAAGCAACTTCCACAGAATGGTAGAGCTAGTGAGAGACAGCTTTAGGATCAGTGCCCAAGTTTTCTATAAAATGAATGTTATTAGAACTGGGACTGGGTCACTGCTACTGATTCTCAACAGGTAACGCCTTTGGCCTATAGAGTAAGACAGTTGTTCCTTGCACTGGATATGTAGCATCCCTGGGGATGAGTGCCACTATCACTATCAATGAGATAATAGTCAGTGACAGTATCAAATACTTTACATTATGTTTCCAGCATGTCCCTCTAAACCTTTCATTTTGAGGGAACAAGGGTACAGGTGCAATAGTTAGAGCAGACCATGAATGACCAAAATCTTATAAACGGATAAATTCTTAAATTACCTATTAATAAAAGCTACTTATAAGAT